ACAGAAATTGCATGAGCCATAAGTGGTCATGTTTCCCATTCTGTGTGAAACGGGATTAAGAATATGTGTTAAGGAGAACTTCCAACTACCAACATACTACATTTTGGGACAGCAGTAGCTCAGGAGGTAGAGCGGGTTGTCCAGTAATTGAAAGGCTGCAGGTTCAATCCTGGCACCAACCACAGAATGCTGCTGTTGTGTCCTTGGGCAAGACACTTAACCTGCCTTGCCTGCTGGTGGTGGTCGGAGGGACCAGTGGCACCTGTGTTCGGCAGGCCTCCTCTCTGTCAGTAGCTGTGGTGACATCGTAGCTCATCCCCTCCAGTGCGTGAATGTGTGTGTGAAGTGGTGAGTGTCTGATTGTGTTGTGAAGCACCTTGGGGGGGGGGGGGGGGGGGGGGGGGGGGGGGGTTGTAGAACCCTAAGGAGCTTTACAAATAAAGGTGATTTACCATTTTACTTCTATACCTGTAAATCTGACTGAGCTGTAGCCATTGATCAGCTGTAATTGTTAATAGAACCCAAGTTCACCCCTGAAGTCTCAAACCTTCATATGATTAAAATCTCATTCACAAGAAAAAAGTCATTTTCAAAACAATGATCCTTCTGTTGATGACTGAACCACCAGCTTGAGTCTTGTTCTGTTTTAGATGGGAAACGGTCCTGCCCACATGAATTACCATGACTGACAGGAGTCAGGTAACGGGGGTCAAAGATCCGTTTCTGCCAGGGTGTGTGTGTGTGTGTGTGTGTGTAGGATTTAGAGGTGAAGAATACTCTGAGCTTCTTGCTGGCATTCATTAAGCATGGGGGGGGGGGGGGGGGGGTCTGGAGCAGGGAGGCTTGAGGGCAGGAGGGGGTCAACTCTCACAGCTGAGGGCATCATTAGCAGGGGGATCACTGACAAATTTTAAAGCCTCCTTAGAGGTTCTGTGTGTGTGTGTGTGTGTGTGTGTGTGTGTGTGTGTGTGTGTGTGTGTGTGTGTGTATGTGTGTGTGTGTGTGTGTGTGTGTGTGTGCGTGCGTGCGTGCGTGCGTGCGTGCGTGTGTGTGTGTGTGTGTGTGTGTGTGTGTGTGTGTGTGTGTGTGTGTGTGTGTGACCCAAAACGCATCAGGAGTGGATAAATATTCTTTTATATTTCCATCGAACAGAAACAAGAAGAAAGGCTGAACGCCCAGCAGAGGAATGCAGGAGCATCAGCGGCCAAGCCCGCATGACTGACCCTGAGTTTTAAAACACTTCTTTGAATCAGCAGAACCCGATCCAGAACCGAACCACTCAAGCAGACGAAGAAAAGTGGAACAGGAGGGTGAGAGGGTCCTATGAGGGTGGAAGGAAGTTGCGTTAAACTGACTCCATTATCACATTTTATGCACATTTGGGATTCACTACAAAAGTAACATTTATTTATTTTTGGTAGAACGTGGAAAGAACGTGCTGAAAGGAGATGTTTTCTGTTGGAGGGGATGTAGTAAAACTTGTGCTGTTGGTGAGAAAGACATGACCTGGCTGACTCACCATCCTCGGAACTGAACAGGAACAAAATCACTCGTGCAAAAGTTTTAAAATATTCAGATAATTTCTTATAAATAGACCTTTTCACAACCAACTGACAAATGATCTGCTCTTTTCATATTTATTTGGATTTTTGGATGAAAGCTGCAGCTGGAAGTATTGCTACTTGAGCCAAAACCCTTCAAAAGTTAACATTAACACCAAAAGGATAATGGGATTACTTCTGGATTTACATTAAAGAAGTAGGACGTATTCTGAAACTGAACCTTTCTCACATTTTTACCCATTTTACACAAAAACCACCTAGAAAATAATCAGATGAAACTTTAAAACCACCGCTATGGTTATCGTCAAAAACAAAAATCAAGCCTTTTTTGTTTATAACATTTTTAGGGGTGAAAGAGGTGTAATCTTCTTGATTTAAAACACAGATTAAAAGAGTTAAAGTGTCAGCATAACTGCTGTGCTGCAGCAGCACGTTTGCTCAACAACCATGAAGTTCCCACCAAGCTCCTCTTCAGAACAACTTCTAGGATGAAACATTTCAGCTCAAGACCTTCGTGACAAGGAGGCTAAAGTCATACTTTGTCTCAGATGTTTAACTGACAGGAAGATGAATTTGGGAGTGAGGAGACCCGGAGTCTGGAGATTTATAGCTGTCCATGTCGAACTGTGATCTGTTTTCAAATACAATAACTATTTCTCCTCCATGTGCTGTCAAGATGCACGTGAGAAAGAGGTGATGGTCAGAGGCAGACGATGACTCGCAGTCATAAATTCAAAAACCATCACTGGAGCTGCTGAGAAGTTAAACTCCTCCAGCCGACCCGTCTTCAGGATGAGAACAAACCGAGGGTTTGACAGGCAGACAAGGTGTTCCTGAGTCAAAATGCAGACGTAAACCGTTTAAAGAGATGGAGAGATTCAGGAAAAGAGACGAACGCTCCGTTGCGTCTTTAAGAAGGTTGTCCGCAGTAGACTGAGTAATTGTTCTCCCAAAGACAACGACAAAAAAAAAAAAAAAAAACGAAAACAGACTTTTTCTTTTTGGTTGCTCAAGAGCAACCTCTACCCCGCAGCCAAAAGCAAGGACCTGCTTTGAACTTGCAGGGGGGAAACCACCATTCATTTTATTAAGTGCTTGCAAAGTTCTGCACATTAAACATGAGCACACACATGCTGCTGATGAACAAACTGATGATTTCTTTAAAATGCAGGAGGGACACACAAAAGCTTCCTCTCACCTCATCCTCTGATGCGTCACAGCTAGTCAGTGTCACAGAAAAACAAACAAGACCGTTTTGTCTTAGCTCAAAAGACTTCAGTTCCTTTGCTCTCACGCTGTAGAGATGTTCAAATAGTGGCTGTCGGACAGAAACCTTGTATCTCCTTTGTTTTCTTTCATTTATTTCCAAGTAACGGACCACCCTTCACACCTATTGGTATGAGTTTATGAATAACCATGTGACTTGTGACCACACAAAGTTCATTTATTGTAAAACTAAAACTTTTTTTTTATTTCCTGAAATGTTCTGTTGTTGCAGATCCAAGATTTCTTCCCGACAGCTATGCAATAAAGAACAATAGAGTCATGAAACACTGTTGGTTGAGTGCCCTCCCAAAAATGTACCGGTGGCCCCCATTTTTCATTATTTTCTAGCAACACCCCTGCTTTAATGTGCTAGCAATGAGCCATTCCTGCACACTTCACGAGAGAAGTTTTTTACCTTCACTCTGGTTTATTGCTAAGTTTGTGTTCATGCTGGAGGTCGGTAGAGCTTCAGTGAAAGAGAAGATGAGTCACATCAAACTGATTCTGTAAGTGTATGGATGTAAGTGGGCACTGAGACATGTGGACTGCATCTACACATGCGCGCACACACACACAAACACAGCGAGAGATCAAGCTGCATCTGGATAAAATGTGTGGCCGTCAAACAGAGGCCTGGCAGGGTGCAGGAAACGGCTGCATGGAGCATGTGAGTGTCTGCTCCCGGGCTCTCTTCCCCACACCTAGAGGCATCTTCGGTGGCCACACGGATGAATAATCGGTACTTTAAGCAAAAGGGTGAGCACAAACACGCCGTTTGTCACTTGAAGAGAAAACACACGGCCACTTAACTCTGGAGAATGACAGCAATTTCTAACATTTAAAGTGGAGGCAAATATGTGAGATGTCTTTCACGTCCCACTTTCAGTTCTAATGCTAATGCTAGGTTAGGGCTGGAAGTGATCCCAGCTAGAAAAATGTTTTCTGTCATTCTAGTAAACCCAGACTATTTGCTCTATAATTAGAGTGTGATGGTAGTCCTGACAGCTGGAGGGTGAAAAGTGAACAGATCTGAGAAATCACCCTCAGCAGACAACTTTTTCTATGAATTTATTAAAAAATACCTGAAGTTGAGGCCTGGATGATGTTACATTTAGAAAAAAAAAAGATATAGCATTACTTCTCTCTCTTGAACTGCTGAAGCAACAGAATTTAAAACATATATTGGAAGTGCTGACTTTACTTTCAGCTGTTTGAGCCAAAAGCCTGAAAAATTGTGTTTCAGTGGCAGAAGGAAAAAACACTTTTCTTGTGTTACTGGAGCTTTCTCCATTTTCTTTCTCTGACACACACACACAAACACACACACACACACACACACACACACACACACACACACACACACACACACACACACACACACACACACACACACACACACACACACACACACTTGCAAGAGTGAATAATAAAATAGCTGCCACATCCTTCTGCTCCCCGGTGCTCTTCCTGGTGGAAACAGGTCATGATGCAATAAAAAAATAGATTTGTTTGTAAAAACAGAGCCGCACTCAGGATGAATAGATTTAAATCATCTGGTTGATTTAAACTTCAAATCTCAAGCTTTTAGAGGACCGAGAGAGAGAAAGCACCTTTTTCTTGCACCATTTCTGTTCATTTGGGGTGAGAGTGAGAAGTAGGTCAAATGACAGACACTTTTCAAGAGGGGGGGGGGGGGGGGGGGGGCACACTTCAAAACACTTGGGACAAGCACTCAAAGGGGAATTCTGCTCTCACTTTGAGGCTGTCTGGATGGATTTAAGCAGCATTTGTTTTGTGTAACACCTTCCTGGTAAATGGGGGCCCTGGGGTGAGAAGACTCCTCTCATATTTTGCTTTAATATGAATATGTGGTGCTCAGTTAGGAATAAAAACATATTTAAAGATGGTCAGGTTTCTGTTAAATCTCCGACTACACTCTAAAACCAAGAGCCAGGTGTGAACCAACAAGAAGACACCTGTCTCAAATCCAGTGCATCCTGATGATAAACCCGCAGCACCAACCTCTTATATCCGTGCATCTATTCAATGTATGAACACAGCTGAGCCTGTCACACGTGCGCAGTCACTTCCCATGTGTGTAAAACTGAGAAGTTTCTGCACACAAATAAACACAACGGAAATCTACTTAACAGACATGGAGTTGGAACTCACCACAAGTCGTTTGTGTTGCTGAATTAAAAAGAAGAAAAAACACTTCAGGGAGATCCAAACTAAACTATTTAGTCTCTTCCTGTCAGATGGTGCTCTCTCCAAACGCAAAGCAGCCTGTTTTCTCTCTCCTGCGCCTTTGATGATATTGAAGAATCACAAAAGGATGACGCAGATGAGAGGATAGGAGAGCCGGACCCATCCGCGCCGGACGCTCAAACCAAATGAAGGCTGCCCAGCACATCCATGAGTAAAACGAGCTACGGGCTGGCGACTCCCCATTAAAATCAATCCCAGATTTTCCCAAACCAAGTGTGCAAAGAGGGTGAGAGCGCGCGCCCGGGAGGAGGAGAAAGCGAGGGGAGGGGATGGAGAGATGTCTGGATATTTCTCAAGCTCCGAATGTTTGCTTGAGTTTCATCTCACCTGTGCTTTGGTGGACTGAGAAGCAAGCATCCTGCCTGAATGTAAAATAAAAGACCATCTTAACACATTGGCTAATGCTCACAACAAAAAGCCCTCCACCGCGCCTTTACGCAGTTATATTACACACAGCGCTGCGTTCACAGGCAGCCATATGGAGGTCGTAATGAGCGCACAAAGCTGAACCTGTTGAAGCGCGGAGGTCTTAGCGGGGCCCCGGGGCCCAGAGAAACAAGAGGCAGATGCCGAGTGTTGGAAGGTTTTAATCCAGTCAGGTTGGAATTAGTAGCGAACAGTAGTGCATGGCGCGTCATTGTCAAAATAACTAGTTTTATGTTTGAGGTGCTGCGGAGGATGGCTTGCTGTGTTTGTGTATGAGAGAGGCTCCTTTTGGATCCGTGGTGGCCTTGAATGCAAACGGAGCCACATCCAAAGCGCGTGATGCGTTAATGCGCTCTTATCAAAGGAGCGTGCGTAAATGCGCACCGATGACACTCTCGGGATTGACTAAAACGATTACTTAAAAAATGTGCGTTTGCATCAATCGTTTTATCATGAATTAAAGCAATAAATTTAGTCTTTGGAATCGTTTAAGTCGATTAATCGTCCGTAAAACACATTTAAACCAGCAGTCAGCTCACCCTGCTGAGTGTTATTACAGGTGCGTCCTGCGTACCAGCCTCTCTCTATTCCATCAGGACCAGAACTAGTCTTTGCAGATCCACATTCTTCCGCCAGACCCGGCCGGACCTTTTTTTCTGAGAGGAGGGAGAACCCGAATTGCTCTGACTCAATCTGGCTCTGGGACGGAACCCAGCATTTTGATGAATTTATTACGCAAACTTATCACAAAACACTCGATTTTGGTTGGATTTGTGAGCAGACAGTTCAAACGGGCGCGTGACACTTCAGAGCGCACCTGCGGCCAAATATTGACGACAACGAGACAACGGAAAATGCTGGATGTGATGTAAAATAATGTGAAATTAAAATATGAAATGAGCGAGGTCTCAAAATATATATCCATCCAATTTAGTTCACCTTATTTATCATATTATAATATTTTATATGAAGTTGTTTGCTTTATACGATTTTTATAAACAAATAAAGTTGTTTTACAGAGAAATAAATATATTTGTGACATGTGGAATTTCAAAATGCAAATAGAGTTATATTCCTGTGTTTGATTTACTGTCAAAGCGGCAAAACGGAATTAAATAAACACTGAAAAGGCAAACGGCCATAAAAAAGATTTAAAACTCGTTTTTATTTAATGAAAAGGCATCCACGTCCGATTGTAATATTATACGAACAAATTAAATAAAATGCGCAATCAATTTTAAAAGTCAAATAAACTCTTCTATAATCAGTGAATATTCTCCCAGACACGTGTGGGCAAAAGAAACCAGGACAGACCAGAGAGGATACACTTACTTTTTGTCAGATGAAGTCCAAGCGAGGAGCTGCCCCGGTCTTTGGCTCTGATTGGGTCTGATCTGGTCAAAGCCAGGGGCTCTCCACGTAGGGATCCCTGTGGCGCTCACCCGGAGAAAATGTCAGCCTCCAGCTTTATTCTCACTTTATTTTGGCACCCCTGTGATTGGACTCGGGGACTAGAGATGCTGGAGAAGGAAAGTCCCTAAATAATTACCAGTGGTTGTATGGCGCCCTCTTGCGGCTAAATGTATGTGACACTAAGTTTAAACTGGTCTGGCTTTCACTCAACCTTGGAGAAAAAATGGTGTTCATCAGAAGACGTTCATCCTCATAACGTTCATGTTAATCAAAATACATTTATTCATAACTGCAGGTAAACGTTTGTGGCAAGAAACACATTTCTCTGAGATTAACAGTGGCACCCCAGGCAAATTTTCATTGAGGGGTCCAGAGAAAATTCTGGGGTGGAACATCAAAGTGGTCCTTGTTGTGTCTCTGGGAGAATTTAGCTTGTGGCGTGTGCTTTGCATGATCCTTTATTCTTCCATCCATCCATCCATCCATCCATCCGTCCATCCGTCCATCCGTCCATCCGTCCGTCCGTCCGTCCGTCCGTCCGTCCATCTGTCCGTCCATCCATCCATTTTCTTCCGCTTATCCAATGTCGAGTCGCAGGGGCAGCAGTCTAAGTTGAGAGGTCCAGACCTCCCTCTCCCCAGCCACTTGGGCCAGATCTTTCAGGGGAAAAATAAGGAGTTCCATGGCCAGGTGAGAAACAAAGTCCCTCCAATGTGTCCTGGGTCTCCTCCCATTTGGACGTGTCTGGAAAACCTCACCAGGGAGGTGTCCAGGAGGCATCCTAATCAGATGCCTGACCCACCTCAACTGGCTCCTCTCGATGTGGAGGAGCAGCGGATGACCGAATTTCTCACCCTATCTCTAAGGGAGAGCCCAGCCACCCTGCGGAGAAAACTCATTTCAGCCGCTTGTATCTGCGATCTCATTCTTACAGTCACTACCCAAAGCTCATGACCGTAGGTGATGGTAGGAATGTAGACTCAGCTCTCTCTTCACCACGACAGACCGGTACAACGCCCGCATCGCTGCATCCTTTATTTTATTTTCGTTAAAAACTAGATGCATCCAAAACGCTTACCTCTAATTTGAGAGACAGACATTTCGGAAGAAGACAGTTCAGTTTTTTGAAATATTATTTCAAAATATTAGAACAGTTTAATTTGTCCGTTGCTGTCTTCACATAAACATTCACATCTATAGAGATTTAAACATTTGTTTCAAAGTCCGTCAGCAGCAGCAACATGTAAACAATTAGAAAAATTCTGATTAAATAGTTAATTGTGTATTTTTATTGGGTTTTACATTTATTTTTTGTTTAAATAAAATGAACATTATGTGAACATTAATATGATTTCTTACATAAAACACTGGTCTGAATTTCTGTCCATCTGGATCATGACCAGGAAAATGGATTCAAACAGCCGATAAAAGCTTTTTCCACAAGGTGGCCCAACTCATCCTTAGAGACACGGGAGGAGCTTAAATCAGAAGCCCTGTTATTACTCAATAAAATCAGCTGAGGTGGTTCAAGTTTCTGACAGTGATACCTCTCTATTGCCTTCCTCTTGAGGTTTTCTGGGTATGTCCCACTGGGAGGAGACTCACAATTTACTGTAGAGATCATATGTCCTCTCTGGCCCAGGGACTCCATATTCCTTCAGTGGAACATGGGAAGAGAGGCTGTCTGGGCTTCCCTCCTGGACCTGGCAACCCTGCATCCTGACCTTGAAGATGGATGGATGGATGGATGGATGGATGGTGGGCTTTTGGATAAACAGACGAACCTTGAACAAATGAAGCTGTAAATCATGCAGCAGACAGAGAGACAGCTACACTAAAATGCCACAGTTTGATCTGTTAGGGAGTTATTTGTCGGTGTTCATTCTTTTTTTCTTCTTCTCTGTACTCAGTGATGTGAAAATCACATGTGAGATTTAGGGTCAGCTAAACACAGATGCAATCATCATGCTGTACAGGTCTCGTTTCTCACAAAGCTTTCAATCACTTTATGACCAAGACTTCTATCATTTCCCTCAGGTCTGATCGAATACTTTGGAAGGATTTGTTACAAGATAAAATATGGAGAAGTAAGAAGCAGCTCAAAAACATTTGAAAAGGATCAAAATAACAAAACACTTTGGTCCAACTGAATTCACCACTAAAAACACTTACACAGAAGATGAACGGGGTTTGGAGAAACAAAGGGCACAAGAAATCTTAAAGGTGCAATATGTAAGAAAGATGTAAGAATGACATCATGTGGTCAGTTGTGGTTACTGCAGCCCATTTTCTTTTAAAGCAAAGTGCACTTCTTCACTGCCATTCTGTGAGTTTCACGACTGTTGCCAGTTACGATTTAGCACCAGAGTAACAAGCAAAAACTCATTAAAAGAAGTAAAACTGTGTGATTGACCCATTATTCATTTCACACACACGTTTCACTGTAATATAGAGTTGTTGGTCATTGAAAAAGCAGCTTGACATACTTTTTGAGTCAACTATTTGCTTCCAATTAACCATTAGCATTGCTAGCTCCTTGCTAATCTCTAGTCTGCTTCAACTGATATTAAAGTAAAAAAAAATACTGTGACTTCTTAGGGTTACAAGGAAATAACTTCTGGGGCGCTCCTGTTTACTGGCTTCGGTTCTTTAAAACTCTCTGAAGCGTTTAGCCTGCCGGTGTCAAATTACAAAGGCTGGCGCTGCAGCATTAACTGTTAGTGTTTAATTTTTTTTAAAGGAGTAAAACTTCTTGACATTTAGTCATCGTCTTGCTCACAACTCCTCCTTGTCTTCAGACCCGAGTACCCAGAGAAAACATGATTATACTAGCTGTGTAAACAACCTGTCTGTGTGCTGCACTCTGAGCAAAGAGAGCTATCAGTAGCTCTTCTTCCAGTGTTATTGACCCATCCATCAACATGACAGCAGACAACTGGAGGTGGTCTCCTCTCAGCTCTCAGCCATGACTCAAGCACAGAGTTTGTAAATGAGTATACCCCAAGGCTGCAGCAAGGAATCAGCAGTAACCCAAGCTGCTGTCTTGAAGACTCAGAGGATGTGTGTGTGTTGATTTGATGTGGGACTGTATTTGGGTTAGCTGGAGCAGAGACCATACCAATACAATGGTGGGAAATGTGCTTTCCCACGCCGTGTGTGTACAGTGCATGTGTGATTAGCTCACTGAGGGCAAAGTAACCACCTGAAAGTAAGCATGCATGCTTTTGCATACGTATACGCATGTCTGTGCATTAAGAAGGGGCTTCAGGTGCCTCTCTGGTGGTATTTAGACCCTTCATTTGTGTGGAATCCAGCGTCATTATCACAAAGTGTTGCCAGCTGGAAGCGTTTGGGAGTTCCCATTTGAACTCGATGTGTGTTCTGAA